TAACACAAAGGCAGCGTATCAGGCAGTGGCCACCATTGTAACACAAAGGCAGCGTATCAGGCAGTGGCCACCATTGTAACACAAAGGCAGCATATCAGGCAGTGGCCACCATTGTAACACAAAGGCAGCACATCAGGCAGTGGCCACCATTGTAACACAAAGGCAGCATATCAGGCAGTGGCCACCATTGTAACAAAGTGCTTGTAACAACAGCACAAACGTGTCACAAATAATTCACAACTTTTCTTCTTAATATGAATGAAAAAAAATTGATTCTTTAAAAAACAAAATCTTGTTCTATCCGATGTTTAACTTATGTCTGATCTTATAACAAAGCAATATGTAGATTACATTGATAAAACTATGAGCTTTATAGTGATTTCATTTTGTGTTGTTAGAAAGAAAATGCTTAATTGCCAGATCCAACAATAAAATACTTACAGGTGCTTCGGGACTCCTGAAACTTCCTAGGTACAAAATTGGGCCAGAGAAAAGACTGTTGGTGACTCCCCCTGGGGCTGGGAGATTGGCTGTGTTTTCCTCTCCCTGCATTCCATTTTGTGCTCTGGTCAATGATGCAGTGGCTGGAGAATTTGTGTCTATAGGAGTGGAGTTATTGTCATCATCATTGGTCATCTCAACGTCTCTGAGATGGTTCAGGCCAACATTCATTGTGTCTCTATCTGGAAGATTCACAGGTGGAATCTCAGACAGGTGCTCTGATCCCGAGACATTATTTCTTTTCCCGGCTGTATCAGGAGGAAGGAAGGATGAAAATTTTGCCAGCCAATCAGCTCTAGACAAGGTTGTTCCAACAATCACATTAGATTCCCCATAGATGTTTTGAGTGGATGAAAGTGTTGTGGTTGTAGCAGTGGAAGACTTACTGCCTGTAATTTCTTCAGGCGCACAAGCAGATTGGTTTCTGTTCATCTCTGAAAGAACTTCTGTGCTGCCTGCCCAATGCCTGCCAGTTTTGTCTTTCTGTTTGACAGCAGCTGTTTCTATGTGAGTAATTTAGAAGTAATACCATTACATAAGTCTCATCAAGATCTTTTTTATCAAAGTACATTCTTAAGATGTAAATCCTAATTTTTTAAAAGCAGGGAAAATTTTTAAAAGTAAGACTTTTTAATGGTTAAGAAACAAACCTATAAAAGTTGTAATAAGAAAGAAACCTATAAAAGTTGTAATAAGAAAGAAAACTATCAAAGTTTTACAAAAAAGAAATCTATAAAAGTTTTACAAAAAAGACATCTATAAAAGTTTTACAAAAAAGAAATCTATAAAAGTTTTACAAGAAAGAAACCTATCAAAGTTGTAACAAGAAAGAAACCTATAAAAGTTGTAACAAGAAAGAAACCTGTAAAAGTTGTAACAAGAAAGAAACCTGTAAAAGTTGTAACAAGAAAGAAACCTATAAAAGTTGTAACAAAAAAGAAACCTATAAAAGTTGTAACAAGAAAGAAACCTATAAAAGTTGTAACAAGAAAGAAACCTATCAAAGTTGTACAAACCTCTTAACAAAGTCATTCTTTTGTTAGAAATCTCTTGACTTTCTCCCAGAAGCTTCAATAAAATAGCAAAAAAAAATTTTTTGATATTTTCCAGGGATCATTCCTTTACAATAACTGCAATTTAAGCAGACATTAAAAGCAGTACAAACTAAATGACCAGATTTTTGTCCAAGTTTAAAATTAAATACAATACTTTATTCCTCATGTTGACAGACAGACATGTCTAAGGAGATAAACACTTCTACAAAAATCCAATATCTTAAACTTTTTGTAGAAATGAAATAGGTCCTTATTTGATTCACTTACCTGGGTCCTTCGTTCTGTACACTTGTTGATCTGTACGACCGCCTGCTCCAGTAACTTGTGAAGCCTGGTCAATCTTAGGTCCATGTTCATCATTTCCTGCTTGACCTCTTCTTCCCTTTCGGACAGACTGAGCAACTCCAACACAGCTTGAGATGTTGACTCTCCTGAAAATAGCAAAAGTATTTCCAGTACATTTTGGTGTGACTCATTGAAATCCGTTTTCTCTTGTATGAAAAGCATTGGGCCGTAAGTCCACAGTCACTGTAACTATCAGTTTTCTTTTGCATGAAGAGCGTCAAACCTTAAGTCCACAATAACTGAAACTTCAATCATTCAAATTATGAGCATCACAGCTCAGATGATAAAATTTAGATATTCAAAAACTGCAACTAAACCCATCACAGGTGTAAAGAATCTTATACAACAAACACAATTGATTAAGATAAGATTCTTTTATTGATCCAAATAAATGGAAAAGTTTTTTCATTGCATTGTACATCTACATTTTCAGCAGATAAATAAATATATAACTTAATAAAGTCAACATTATCCCACTAAAACAATTTAAACACAAGACAACTGAATTCAATTATTTCTCTAGCATATCAAACAGCCAATCAGTGGACTCCCTATGTCATAATAAGGGACTTAATTAGTGATCATTTAGATTTTGTGACCTCTGGGGGAGCAAGCTGGTAAATTTGTACAGATTGTGGGCCAAACTAATTTTTATATCTTTCAGTCCTCACCTTAAGAGAAAGAATTTGTCCTGATCTTAAGTATCTGTGATGAACGAGGTGGGACGTATCATCCAAAATTTGTTTAGTTTTACAGTAGCATTTTTCTTCATAACATAGTTATATCATTAACTGACTCTAATCTCATATACTACTTTTGACACTCTATTTTCTTATGTTCTTTCATAGATGATGAGCTTTGGTAAATCCTTAGCTACAGTCTAAAAGCATACAGCTCATGACACACAGATTTGGAGTACTCACCTTGAAAAGCAGTCAGCCCTACGCCTGTTTGGCTTTCTCCAGAGAGCCTCTCATTGCCAATGTCATTCAGGAGCCGATCAGTACATGTGGAAGATTCCTCAGAAATACAGTTGCCAAGATCTTTGACCTCGGCTGAGATGGAATCTGATTTGAACATGGGCATGTATGCAATTAATGGCTTGGGGGATGCATCAAGTTGTTCAGAGCCGGACTCTGGCATTGGTAGGATGGTGGTCTGTGTATCACTTAGGTTGGAAGACAGCCGCTCTTCTAGCCAGGCACTAGGAGGTAAAGTTAGCCTCACCGACGGATGGGGTTGCTGGGAGTTGGACGGTACAGGTGCTTGATGAAGGGGGAGCGATGATATGATGGTCTGATGACGAGGTGACAACATAGGTCCACAAGGAAGTGGAGATGATGTGGCTTGAGTCAAAGGGGAGCTAGCCTGCTCCAGATCAGTTTCAGGTCTGTGAAAGTTCATGATGGTAGGAAACTTTTGCATGACATTTTCACTGGTGAGCTGTGACTTGCCAGTGAGCTGAGACATGCTTTCATTAGTGAGCTGAGACTTGCCAGTTAGCTTAGACATGCTTTCACTAGTGAGCAGAGACTTGCCAGTGAGCTGAGAAATGCTTTCACTAGTGAGCAGAGACTTGCCAGTGAGCTGAGACATGCCTTCACTAGTGAGCAGAGACTTGCCAGTGTGCTGAGACATGCTTTCACTAGTGAGCTGAGACTTGCCAGTGAGCAGAGACTTGCCAGTGAGCTGAGACATGCTTTCACTAGTGAGCAGAGACTTGCCAGTGAGCTGAGACATGCTTTCACT